GTCATGGTCTCACAGTTTGTGGGTTTGAGCCCCACATTGGGGTCCGTGCTGGCAGTGTGGAGCCTGCTTGGGATTCTCTGTCACTCTCTTTGTCCCTCCCCCGCTCATGCATGATCTCTTTCACTGATTCTCTCTAGAAATAAATAAATAAACTTAAAACAATTAAATTCACAAATGGTAGCATACTTTATACATTTTTCTGTAGTTAACTTTTTTCACTTACTATATCTTCGAGTTCATTCCATTACAATAAATATGGAATGGTTTCACTTTTTAAAATAGCTATATGTGAATCTACTGGGTACAGATCCCAATCATTGTGACTACCTGAGGTTGGTACTGTATGCTTATTTTAAAACTTTTTGGTAACAAAGATGTTACTTGATAGTTGCTAGAATTAATTTTTCTTTTAGGCATACCTTTAAGTCCTCATTTGCAAGCTACATAATATGACAAAATGCTTTCATGAAACTCTGTGAGTATAGAAGGTCAAATTCACTATAAGTCAGTATTTTTTTTTTTTTTACCAGTAAAGTCTGTATATCTATGTGAAATGTTGACAAGTAGTACACTTTGAAAAGTTATTATGGTGTTTTATTTGCTTTCCTTGTCACCTCAATGTGAAATTTGGTGTTTGATTTGTTCTTAATTCAACACAAGTCTTTCAATTTTCTAATTTTTTTGTTTGTTTGTTTGTTCTTTGGTGGATAATTCAGTGTTGATCTTTAGGCCACAGTTATTCTGAAGATGTATATTATGTAAACTAACCTGTTATGAACTTTCATTTTTGGCAAAAAAATTCTTTGGCTAAATTCTTTTTTAATTCTTATTTTTTTAATGTTCATTTATTTTTGAGAGAGATATAGAACTTGAGTGGGGGATGGACAATAAGCGAAGGAGACCCAGAATCTGAAACAGGCTTCAGACTCTGAGCTGTCGGCACAGATTCCAATATGGGGCTCGAACCTGTGAACTGTGAGATCATGACCTGAGCCGAAGTCGGACACTCAACTGAGCCACCCACATGCCCCTCTTTGGCTAAATTCTTGCTGATATATATATATTTTTTTTAACAGCAAGTCAAAAGGGTCAATGCCAAAATAATTCTTGTTTTTAAAGTTAATTGCATTCTTTAGTTGATAGACTATGTTTCACAGGAAGACCGCTTTCTTTTTTTTTTTTTTAAATATAATTTATTGTCAAAATGGTTTACATGCAACACCCAGTGCTCATCCCAATAAGTGCCCTCCTCAATGCCCATCACTCATTTTCCCCTCTCCCCCACCCCCTCATCTACCCTCAGTTTGTTTTCTGTATTTAGGAGTCTCTTGTGGTTTACCTCCCTCCCTCTCTGTTTGGAACTTTTTTCCCCTTTCCTTCCCCCATGGTCTCCTGTTAAGTTTCTTAAAATCCACATATGAGTGAAAACAGATGGTGTCTGTCCTTCTCTGACTGACTTATTTCACTCAGCCTAATACCTTCCAGTTCCATCCATGTTGCTGCAAATGACAGGATCTCATTCTTTCTCATTGCCAAGTAGTATTCTATTGTATATATAAACCACATCTTTCTTTTCTTTCTTTCCCTTCCTTTCTTCCTTCCTTCCTTCCTTTCTTCCTTCCTTCCTTCCTTCCTTTCTTTCTCTCTCTCTTTCTTTTTTTTTCTTAGTTTATTGTCAAATTGGTTTCCATATAACACCCAGTGCTCCTCCCAATAAGTGCCCTCCTCCATGCCCATCTCCCCCATTCTCCTCTTCCCCCACCCCCATCAGCCCTCAGTTTGTCCTCAGCATTCAAGAGTCTCTCATGATTTGCCTCCCTCCCTCCCTCTATTTTTCCCCTTCTTCCCCATGGTCCTCCAT